TGGTTCCTGTGAGGATGTGGATGCTCCCAAGACTGCTGACACTTTATGCCTGAGCCCGAGACTCATCCAGCTCAGCCCTGCCCCGCTGCTCCTCCTGCATAGCCACTCAGGCAACAAGTCCTGTGAATTTCATCTCCAAAGCACCTCTCTAATCCACCTCCTCCTTTCCATCTCTGTGAGCACTGCATTCAGCACCTGAACAGTTCTTGTCTGGAAAATTTCGAGAGCCTCTCTTAACTAGCCAACGCTTATATCTGACCGGTGTCCCCTCAGCATGCCCTCCCGCTGGAAGCTCCAGCAATTCTGAAGCCCCCAGACCTCCCCTCACCCCCAGGACTATACACGGGCCTCTCCCTTGGTCTCTGTTCCTCTCTCAAGTCCTAGACTTCCTTTGAAACCTACGTTGGAGAGCCAGGCATGATGGCATGCACCTGTAGTTCCAGCCACTCAGGAGGCTGAGGCAGGAGGATCGCTTGAGTCCAGGAGCTCGGGGCTGCCGTGAACTACGATCGTGCCTCTGAATAGCCACTGCACTCCAGCCTGGGCAACATAGTGAGACCCCAGCTAAAAAAACAAAACTCACCTAACTTAGATGTCAGTTTCTTCTGGAAGCACTTCCCAGGCTCTTTTCCTTTCCGTTTAAAACCAACCACCCTTTCTCAAAGTTGTCTCTCTCCCCTGGTCTGCAGTGAACTTATCACATGGTGTTGTCATTTGTTTTCCAAACCCACCTGCCTTCCAGGCTGTCAGCTCCCCTAGATGGGTGCTCCGTCTTAGTTACTTCTGGCCCTTGGAGCCTGTACGGTCCTTGATAGAAAAGAGGTGCCCAATAAACTTCTTAGGAATTTTGGCTATTTCTGTTTGGTGTGACTCCAACTCCAGCACTTGTTGGGAGGTGACTGCAGGCGGGAAGAGGGCAGCACGAGCCCTGTGGATCCAGGGTGGGCAGACCAGGTGGAGATGAGACCTTCAGCAGATGAAGGTGCCAAGTCATTGCTTTGAACAGTAACGTGGAAAAGATCCTCATTGCTTAAAAACAGGATCCTTTTGTCTCAGGTGACAGACTAAGTTCAGTGGGTCCATCAACATTAGGGACCATGGGGGTCATTTTCCCAACCTTTTTGCTCCTTTCTTGAAGAAGTTAAACCCCTAAACTCCTCAAGCTCAGCTATGTTATGTGCTAAAGCCTAATATGGGCTCAAAGGATCTTACAAAGTAGCCCCCGAAACTAATAAATCTTTAAAAAGGGGTGGTGTGAGAATCGCTCAAGAAAAGCCAAATGCCAAGGAGTTAAAAATAGCAGAATTCCTCTGTAAGTCTCTAACTGCTACGCCACTGCCTCCTCTGGGCTCTGCGGCCACAGGATGAGGTGACAGTCTTTCATCACCCCTAGAAAAGGAGGCCAGTCTCGAGCCCTCTACCTCCTGCTGTGCCCTCAGCACTGTCTCCACACAGCATCCCCAGTTCTGTTTTTGGAACAAACCTTGTGGCATCGTGTGAGTCACAGCCCCGCAGCCCCGACCACCACAGCATCACACACTCAGGACAAACAGTCCTTTTCTTTCCTGTGACCAGTTCCCAGTAAGTTCATGGTCGGATTTCTCACTGGTGGCTGAGTACATTATCTGGCTGATAGCTGGGTCCTGGTGCCAGCTTTGAGGTCTGGCAGTGTCTTCCTTCCCCGCTCTCCCAGGGCCCCTGGGGCAGCCGTGGGCCGACAGGGCTGCACTGCTGCCCCTCGTTCTCATCTCGCTGTTGACAGACGATGGCCCAGAGATCCCCAGGATGGCGTACCTCTCCTGGAGCCCTCACTGCTCACCATTGGCTGCGGTTTCAGTGGCTGGCTCACAGGAGAGAATACTGAATTAGCTTTTTCAGTAAATTGTTTCTCTGGAATATTAAAGGTGGAACAACTATGTGTTCCCATAGATAAGGTGTGAATCCAAACATTTAAAAAACTGAAACCAGATTAATGAAATTGACAGCTCCCGCCAGTATCTTAGAACTCTAGGTGGAGCTTAGTCCTTGGAAGGTCCTGAGGCTTTGGGAAAATATTAATGCCTAGACTGGGAATTCATACCAAAAAAAGAAAAAAAAAAAAAGATAGTTTAGCCTGAAGAATATTTGTATGCTCTTGTGTAGTGTCAGGTCAATAATTCTAATTATTATCTCTGCTAAAAGGCTAAAAATTAGAGGGATAAAAGTAGATATTGTCTTCCTGGCACAAACATTTATAGCTTTAAATAAAGTAGTAGAAGAATTAGAATTAAGAACATGGAACATAGCAGTTTAATTAAAACCACAGATAACGTTAAAATAGGCAAATTCTAGCCTGACATTATGGTCAATTAAGTATTTGTCAAACAGACACAATGACTATAAGTAAAAATATCCTCCATTCTTTCCCCATTGTTAGAATTGTTTGGAGCCAGGCCTGTTGGCTATGCATTCCTTAATCTGAGCTGGGGGTTCCTACCAGTCAGTGTCGGATCCGTGTCTTTGCATTGGCATAACTCGCTGAATACTGCAAACCGAGATGCCTTTGCTTTTTCCTCCTTTCAGAAGGGCATCAAGCCCCTGGCCGTCATCCTGTGCTCTCAGGCACCAGATAGGGATTATTGTGAATATTGCTATTTGAGGAAAGCATAGCTCTGAGAAGACAAATGCCTCCTCCGAGGTCTCAGGCTGGGTGCCACTGAGAATGCATGATCAGTGCATCCTTCTTGGATTGTGAGGCAATCAGGGGCCGGTGTTGGCAGCAAAGTAAGGTTTCCTCAAAGATGTTCTAATCTGAAAATCTGTGAATATGTTTCCTTTCACGGCCAAGGAGGATTCAGGTGGTAGGCGGAAAACATACTAATCAGCTGACTTTAAAACAAAGAAGTCTTCCTGGATTATTCTGGGGAGCCTAAGGTAATCAATGTAATCACAAAGTTTCCTAATTAGGGAAGAGGGAGTGGAAGTAGAAACCCTTTCATTATTTCCAGTGTCTATAGTTTTCTAGAGAATGCCAGTTTCTATAGGATGCAATGCTACCTCCTTTCTCAAAGGTTCATTCTAGAAGTTGATCTGTTATATTTGTTGAGGGACTTGAAATTTGAGGTAGGAACAATAGCCAAGATGAACAACAGATAACTAACCTGGAGCGGGAACAGATCACGACGAGGGCTCAGCGGCACCTCGGACCTCAATGGGACTCAGCATCTCGTTGATGGTTCTGCTTGCAGACATCCTTCACCTCCTTGGTTACATGTGTTCCTAGGTACTTCATTCTGTGGTTACTGGAAATGGGACTGCGTTCTTGATTTGGCGCTCAGCTTGAATGTTATTGTGTTTGGAAATTCTGATTTTCGTGCATGGATTTTCTATGCACGAAACTTTACTAAAGTCGTTTATTGGTTCCAGGAACCTTCTGGCAGAGTCTTCAGGGTTTTCTAGATATAGAATCATATCAGCAGTGAAGAGAGACAGTTTGACTTCTTTTCCTGTTTAGATGCCTTTTATGGCTTATTCTTGCCTGATCACTCTGGCTAGGACTTCCTAGCATTTCATTTGTTTAGAAGATGACAGACACATCGGTGTTTCTTATTTCTTTATTTGAGATGGAGAGTTGCTCTGTCACTCAGGCTGGAGTGCAGTGGAGCAATCTTGATTCATTGCAACCTCGGCTCACTGTAACCTCTGTCTAAGGGGTTCAAGCAATTCTCCTGCCTCGGCCTCCTGAGGAGCTGGGACCACAGGTGCCTGCCCCACACCCACCTAATTTTTGTGTTTTTAGTAAAGATGGGGTTTCACCATGTTGGCCAGGCTGGTCTCGAACTCCTGACCTCAAGCGATCTGTCCACCTCAGCTTCCCAAAGTGCTGGGATTACAGGCGTGGGCCATCATGCCTGGCTCGGGAACTGAAGATTAAAGCAACAGTGAGGTACGACTACACCCCTATTAGCGTGGCCAAAACCCAGCCACAAATAGGTGTTTCTATGAATCAGCCCCAGCTGCCAATTTCCTCTGGAGAGCGGCAAGCAGAAAGTGGCCAGTGGACATTGTGATCCCTTGCTGGTGATGCTCTGCTTACCATACAGCAGGCTTGCAGAAGCAAGACACTCAGATGATACCAGTTATCCTATATAATACCCCCATACCTGTCTTCTTTCATTGCTTTGTGAGAGGAATCTCAGCTAGATAAAAGTCACCTTAATAACTGATGAACGTCCTTCCTACCTAGTAGATAATGTATTAATGAAGATCTTCGAGTCTAAGCCAAGAAACTTTCAGAGTTCTCTAGTTGTTCTCAGTAATAAAACAATGTCAAGGAATTTCCATTCTTCATTTGGCAGTACAGTGTTCTAACGTCAAAGGTTCCGAGACCTTTCAATTCTGATCACTACTAAGATACAAAAACTAGCATTCTATAGAAAAGGCCCAATGGATCAGCTGAGGTCAGGCATTTGAGACAAGCCTGGCTAACACAGCAAAACCCCTCCTCTACTAAAAATACAAAAATCATCACGGTGTGGTGGTGCATGCATGCCCATAATCCCAGCTACCTGAGAGGCTGAAGCAGAAGAATTGCTTGAACCTAGGAGGTAGAGGTTGCCATGAATTGAGATCGTGCTGTTGTACTCCAGCCTGGACAACAGAGCAAGACTCTGCCTCAAAAAAAAAAAAGGAAAGAAGAAAGAAAGAAAGAAAGAAAGAAAAAGGAAGCAAGGAAGAAAGAAAGGAAAGAAAGAAAGGGAAAGAAAGAAAAAAAGAAAAGAAAAAGAAAAAGAAAAACAAAAGGTCTGAAAAGGAGGACCAGGCAGCTAAAGCTTCTCTGAACAAATTCAGTCATCAGAAAGTCACCTGGGACTCCATATAAGAACCACCACACGTGGCAACCATGATATCCAAAGTCATCTCGTATACATCAGTTCCTTCCCTTCACAGTTTTGTTTCTCATGTGAATGTCCAAAGACAGTGTTGTGATCTGTGTGCACTCACCGCCCACGCCAGTGAGGTCACTGTGGCAGCAGGTAGTTTTCAGAGGCACAGACCTTGTGCTGGGTGATGGAATCTAGAAAGAGAGGGAAAAGCAATTTAGCATTCAGAATAGCCGACCACACAGGAAAGTGAAAACCTGTTTGTATAGACATGAAACTGTATTTAAAAACAAATGGTCAAGAGCTGGGTTGTCCATCTGCGCCCCGTCCGTACAGCACACATGGCTTTTTAAATTAACATGGAATAAAAGTCAGTACGATGAAACATTCAGTTCTGAGTCAGACTGGAGCTCAAGGGCTTGGTAGCCACATGTCCCATTAGAGGCAGGACACAGGTGACGTACCCACTGTGGTAGGACGTTCAGTGGGCAGGGTGGGAAGCTTGCCAGTCTGTGATGTAGGAGCCGAGAATCCTAATCTTAGCTTACCACTTCCAATACTCTCAGCATAAGGCAGAGGAGACATAAATACATACATGAGTTTTAATTGTGACACCAATGGTGAGAGCTGGGCCATGCTATCCTATCTACCCAGCATAGGTACTTTGTATGAAATACAGCTTTGTATGAATAACCAGCTTCAAACTGATGGGACTTTAGAGCTCACCTATTGGATGATAAGGTAGATTAAATTAATCAATTACAATTAAAGAATCACAATTATTGTGTGATTATATAATTATAATTACAGAGTTATATTTGAAGGAACTTAAGGAGTCACACCAAGGAATGCTGGAAGGTGGAAAGCTATCCTGGTGGTGTGGTACAAAAAAGAAAAAAAATGGGTTTATTCTACAAGTATTTTTAAAATGGAAAAAAAATGACTTATCTTAGTTACAACTTAAAACTGTTGTCTTCTCAATACAAACATGCTTCTACTCAGGAGGTCTGGGCCAGTGAGGGACTCTCAGATGAATTTCAAAAGGGAGGAACACTATTATTTCTGATATTTGTATATATAAGATAGCCTGTATACGTATGAAATGATATAGTTAACAACGTTGTATATAATTATAACAATTTATTATTCATATCAGGCATACTGCTTACTTCTCTCCACAACAGCGAAGCAGGTATTATTATGATTTATGCTTTTTTCTCTTCTTGAGATAGGGTCTTTCTCTGTCACCCAGGTTGGAGTGCATTGCTGCAAACATAGCTCACTGCAGCGTCAGTCTCCCGGACTCAGGCGCTCCTCCAGCCTCAGCTTCCCAGGTAGCTGCGACTACAGGTGTGCATCACCACACGTAGTTAATTTTTGGATCTTTCGTAGAGCCAGGGTCTCACTTTGTTGCCAGGCTGGTCTTGAAATCCCTGGCTAAAGCAGTCCCCCTGCCTCAGTCTTCCAAAGTGCTGGGATCACAGGCATAAGCCACCACACCTGGCTTGACTTTTCTTACACAAACTTTTGCCATGAATAAGTTTCAGTTTCTCATGTATTCAAATTATATCAATACTTTATTTTACTGTATCTGGCTTTTGAGTTGTAGGTAAGTGGAGAGCTTTTCCCAACACTCAGGTTATAAAGTCATTCAGCTTCATTTTATATGTTCTTCCAGGTTTTAAAAACTCTAAGAATTCAATTTTTAAACTTAATTTTCTGGCTAGATGTCAGTTTTGAAAAATCAGAAAAAAACTACAGAAAAAGGCTGGGTGTGGTGGCTCACACCTATAATTTTAGCACTTTGGAAGGCCAAGGTGGGTGGATCATGAGGTCAGGAGCTCGAGACCAGCCTGGCCAATATGGTGAAACCCCATCACTACTAAAAATACAAAAATTAGCCAGGCGTGGTGGTGTGCACCTGTAGTCTCAACTACTTGGGAGGCTGAGGCACAAGAATCGCTTGAACCCAGGAGGTGGAGGCTGCAGTGAGCCAAGATCATGCCACTGCACTCCAACCTGGGAAACAGAGCAAGAGACTTGGTCTAAAAAAAAAAAAAAAAAAAAAAAAAAAAACTGCTGAAAAAATGATGCTCTCTCCTAATTAATCTAAAAATTCAATACAATCCCAAAGTTTCAAACTTTTAAAAAAGAAAGGACATGCTTATTCTAAAGTTTATAGGAAAAAAACACATAGGAAGATGATGTTTAAAAAGAAATAATGAGAAAAAATCTGACATACCAGATATTATAGCAGTAGAGTTTAGCACAGAATAGACAAACAGATCAATGGATGAGAATAACCAGAAACACACCCATATAGGTGGGAATTTAAGAGATCCCTCACAGGGGGCATTGTAAGTCAGTGGTCGATAAATGAGTTATTAAAAATGGGGCCAGGGGCTGTGGCTCATGCCTGTAATCCTAGCACTTTGGGAGGCCAAGGTGGGTGGATCACGAGGTCAGGAATTGAAGACCAGCCTGACCAACACGGTAAAATCCCGTCTCTACTAAAAATACAAAAGTTAGCTGGGTATGTGGCATGTGCTTGTAATGTTAGCTACTCAGGAGGCTGAGGGAGGAGAATCGCTTGACCCCAAGATGTGGAAGTTGCAGTGAGCCGAGATCATGCCACTGCCCTCTAGTCTGGGCAAGAGGGAGTGGGACTCTGTCTAAAAAAAAAAAAAAAAAAAAAGACTTGGTCCCCTCACATTATATAGTAAGTGAAATGCAGATGAATTAAAGCGCTAAATATGTTTTTAAAATTTTAAATAGGAGAATACAAGATTATTTTTAAAGTTCAGAGGGTGAGGAAGACGTTTTCCAAGCAAAACCACTAAGTGTAGGTGCCATGGAGGAAAAGAGGTATTTAATTTTATAAAAAATCATAGTTAAACATTAAAAACTTGGTAATACTTAGTATACCATAAGCACAGTTAAAGAGACAGAATGTTATAACATTTACAACAGAAGTTTAATGTCCATATTATGTAAGCATTGCTGTAAAACAATGTAAAAAAGATCAATAACCCAATTTCAAATCAGGCAAGGGATCAGGACAGGCAATTCATGAATGATAAATCCCCTATCTAAGATACGTATACTCATTAGTAATGTAATAATCAAGAAATTACAAATTAATGAGATCTATTTTTTTTAAACTCATCAGATCACCCAACATTAAAAATATGGGTTATGCCCAGTATCGGACATAGGAATTTATAGAACATAAGAAACAGGACTTTATATACTTCAGTAATAGCGTAAACTGGTATAGCCTTGTGTATCAGAATTTAAGTACACATATCCTAGGGCACAGTAATTCCACTGCTTTGAATCTATTTTACAGAAATCTTCACGTGCCTGGGCTTGGACTAGAATAATTATAGCTCAAGAAAATCTCTTAAAATTTAAATTCACATTGGTCCCATTAGAAAACACACAAATACATGCATATGCACATGCGCGCACGCGCACACACACACACACACACACACACACCTAAAATAGTAGAAGCCAGCCATGTTGCAGAGTTCATGCCTGTAGTGCCAGCTACTTGGGAGGCTGAGGTGGGAGGACTGCTTGAGCCCAGGAGTTTGAGGCCAGCCTGGGTAACATAGTGACATCCTCTTTCCAAAATAAATAAATAAATACAATAGCAGAACAATAAAAATAACAGAAAGCACATAAATTAATTACAGTCCCTCCTGATAGTTAAAAAGAATGAAGTCGCTGTATATGTGTTAAACTTTCGAAAGGATCTTTTAAGCATAGGTTTAAAAAAAAAAAAACAACTCATGAAATAATGTGTGATTCCCCAATTTATATAAAAACAAACCCAAAACAATATCTATGTTTATAAACATTTATTTCTATGTAAATATGCTTTTATTTTTTAAGAGACAGGATCTTGATCCATTGCCCAGAATTGAGTGCAGTGGTATGAACATGGCTCGCTGCAGACACGAATTTCTGGGCTCAAGTGATCCTCCCACCTTGGCGTCCTGGGTAGCTACTCAGATGGACTGAGTAGTCCGGCTAATTTTCAATTTTTTTTTTTTTATAGGGACAAGGTCTTTCTATGTTGCTAAGGCTGGTCTCAAACTCCTGGCATCAAGCAATCCACTCACCTTGGCCTCCCAAAGTGTAAAGATTATAGGTATGAGTCACTGCACCTGACCATAACATGTTTACACTTAAATATGCTTTTTTATTTTTATTTTATTATTATTATTTTTTTTTTTTTGAGGAGGAGTTTCGCTCTTGTTACCCAGGCTGGAGTGCAATGGCACGATCTCAGCTCACCGCAACCTCCACCTCCTGGGTTCAGGCAATTCTCCTGCCTCAGCCTCCTGAGTAGCTGGGATTACAGGCACACATTACCATTCCCAGCTAATTTTTTGTATTTTTAGTAGAGACGGGGTTTCACCATGTTGACCAGGATGGTCTCGATCTCTTGACCTTGTGATCCACCCGCCTCGGCCTCCCAAAGTGCTGGGATTACAGGCTTGAGCCACCGCGCCCGGCTTAAACATGCTTTCAAAAGAAATCTGCAGATACACTTCTATCTTTATTGTAGTTACTTTAAGGAAGTTTTGTAAGACCGGGGGATCCTGTATACTTCTCTACTGTTTGACTTCTTTGACTATGAAATCAAATATCACTCCATCCACCCATCAACCCATCCATCCATCCACCCACCCACCCACCCACTCACCCATCCATCAATCCACCCACTCACCCATCCATCCACCCACCCAGCCACCCACCCACTCACCCATCCATCCATCGACATATGTATCTTTCCATTCATGCATTTATCATGGTGGGGATAAAGGCTGCCTGAAGTATTGATCTTTAAACAGAGACAAGATAGAGCAGAAGCCTAAATGTAACCTCACAATGAAGTCTGCGTCTTACACCTCTCATGGCCTGCTCCAGGACTGTGCTGCCTGAGGAATTACACTGGACTCTGGAGCAGTGGCACTGAGGTGGGCACGGGGCTGTGACAGTGTGTGTGGTTAGCACTCTGGGGGGTCTGAAGCACATCTGACCACTGAACAAGGCTTGACAGCTCCAGGGTCATGTGAGGGAGCCCCTCACAGCCCCATGTTCCTAACTGTAAGCACACACAGGAAAAATGATTTCTATCCAAGTTCATTTGGCATCTGAAAATCGCCACATCCCCACATTC